GGCAGACGGTCATATGATGTCATTTATATGTGTCTCATTTGCACAATGTTGGTTACTAGCTTGGGCAGCTTCCGGACCAACCAGGTTGGTGTGGAAGTCAGCCAGGACCTTGGGGTAGGGATTCCATCACCACACGTCGACCTCTGTTGAAGTCCTGACCCTGACACCTTGGGGGTACCGGTGGGGCCGGGCAGTTCGGTGTCCCATCCGTTCCGGGTGGAGTTCCGCTTCACCTTTTGTGCGAACAGGATAGACCCTGAAGTACTCAGGGCAGCAAAGGTCTTTTTCAGAAAGCGTTTGGGTGGGTCACATCGGGACACACATCGCGTCAAGTCAAGTGTCTAGCTGCACTGTTGTAGGGTTCGTGCAAAGGTTTCTTCTTGATTGCACGATGTGCTTTGGAGAAGACAATTGTCCTTCGATCAGGCTACAGGGATACGCCGTGATTTCTGATGTCATGGTTTGATATAGAGCTAGATGATCAGTAAAACATCCATTCTTCTTCATGGTTTGAGGTTTCAAGTTGCCGCATTGTGGGGTGCGCATTTTGGGCTGCTGCACTGTGCGGTGCCTGCGGTGCCTCCAATTTCTATCCATGTTCATCCAGAAAACCAGCCAGTGGCGATACCAAACCTGTCATGTGCCACGATGTTTGGCGATTCCATTTGCCAAATCGCCGTGCTTTGCAGCATCTCCAGCCGCCACAGCCTGGCGCGAGGAAGCCGTGCACAGCCACGCGCGCGTTTGCGAGAGAAAAGAGGGTGTCGGTGTCAAGGCTCGTGTGGACGTGAAACGAATTGATCCTTAGCTAGGCTAGGCTAGCTACCAGGATCATCCTGTCTGGTTGTAGCTGCTAGACTCTGGACATCTAGTGCCAGTGCAGAGCAGCTATCGACCCACCCAGAAACGGATGATCCAGGTATAACGAACGACGAAGACCCCTGACCCCTCCCCCGTTTGGTAGAGGCCAGAGGTCTTCCAGGGTCCCATGCCACGGTCACCATGGTTACTCGGTGTTCGTCAGATCTGTCATGGACGAACTGGGTCCTTTCTCGATCCTGTGAAGTGAATCCTTAGCAAGTCAGACGACTGCTCCACTTCCCTGTCCGCAGGCTGGAGGAGGTGGAACGCTTCAGTTTCTGAAGCTCACATCGAAGTCTCGGAATCTGGAGACAGCACCTCTTGGAATTGAAACGGGTTCAAAACCAACAGAGATTCAGAAAGGTCGACTTCAGAACCAGCCAGACATCCTTGGGGTCCATCAAATCCATGGAAATCAAAACACTTGACATCCGACCGCAGCCGGGTTTCACCTTTTGGACCCTCCGCTTCCTTGTTCACCTCCGCAGACATCTGAAGGCTCAATGAGGCCCCAATTGACCTTCCGTCGAGTTACAGGCGAGCTGCAGAGGACATCCGTCGAGCTACACGTTACCTGGTTTTGCTTAGGATGAGTTATTTTCCCTGAAGGGATATGTTCTCCGGTTCCTTAATTAAGCACATCTCAGGTTATGTTGGCCTTTGTTTCGAGAGAAAAGGGATGGGCATCCCTTTTCTGCAAAAGAGATGGCAGGCTCAGTTCCACAAACTTGTTTTCCTAGACTCTAGACACGAAAACAACAACCTTCGCCCCAGTTGAGAACTCCATGAATGGACTATTTGATGATATTTGATGAATTGAGCCCTTTGAGCCAACAGAGGCCCTTTTTTCATGGACTCCCTGTTCATGATGGAACTCGTTGGAGAGAGCAAGTGCTGATTCGCAATGGCGCCATGTGAAGAACCGTTTGACCGAAGACTCTCTCGCCGTCAGTAGGTGTTTTGGGTCCTAACCTGATTGGGAAAACAGGCCGTCACACACTGCAAGGGACTGGCTACATTGGGGTGGTGGTTTCGGGGGGTCAATGTAGTTACTGTGCATAGGCTATACATTCAGTGTTTGGGTAGTACTACCCAGGATCATCCTGTGTAGTACTACCCAGGATCATCCTGTGTGGGTGTCCTCGCCTGTTCGGTCCAGACGTACGTAGTGGGTAGTCCTGCCAGGTGATCCAGAATGCACTCAGGGCATTCTCATGGAAGGCTGATGAGAACACAAGAAGCATCAACAGGTCAAAGCATATCTCCCGTTGTTTGGGGATGAATCTAGATGCTAAACACAAATATTAGTACGTGCCCAGTGTGACACTAAGGATGGTAAAGTATGGCAAAGTCGTGTTGTTCTGCAGCCTAGCTCCACCTTATTCTGTGTAGGTGTGAGTTTCCTCAGGGTCTTCAGACCTCAAACAGGCATGAGGACCAACGCTTTGCCTCACTCGTTTGGTCAAGAGAAGGGCTCAAATCCTGGATTCTGCCGAGGGTTTTGGGTGAGCCGCAGTGGCTCAGAGTCCCTAGGGGACAAACGTACACCAACAGAACTCATTATGTACAAGCCCCAAGAATCCTTGGACCCTCCATAAGGGGTCGCACCCTCCGGGTGCGGACCCAAACCAAATCCTTTCCATTCCATAAAAGCTCCGAAGGTCCTTTGGGTGAAAAACCAGAACTGATACCACGAGTCCACCCAGTCTTCCGCAGGAATCCAATGAGGTCGCCGAACCTCCCCATCGTGTGCTGGGCCCAAACCTCGACTCACCGGGCGCCCTTCGGTAAGCCATCGGTCTAGGCCTCGCGTCGACGAAACCGGAGGCCTGTGGCCAAGACCTTTCGCCTTTGAGGCCATGGGAGATCCTTTCGTGGGGTCCGAAATGGGTCGCCTCCTCCGTCCCAAGAGAGGGGACACCCGTTTTGCCTGAACAATGGCTTTTGAAGTGCAACAAGGTGGAAGGAGCTTCATGTCAGGTTCAATGTGGAAGTCAAGTTGGGCGCTTTTGTTTGTGGTGTTTCAGCCAAGGTGATGCCTGACAATGGCTGAACAAACAACACCAAGCAGATCTTGTTCTCCCTTCTTTGACCATTTACGATGTTGGGAAGCAAATCAAGGATGTTTGAAGGATGGTGAGATGTCTACGTGAGTCTTCTCATGGTGCTGCGAGAGTTTGTTTTGTTCTCCGAAGTTCTGTGCGGACAAGAAAGTTCATCAAGTCATCCCTCAGCGAACAAACGACATATGATGAAACATGCAATGCTTGATAGTACACCCAATACCTGAGCAGGACATCGCAGTTTAATTGGGTATATATATATATACCTTTTAGGTGTCCCATATGGTTCTAGCAAGTGATCTTTTGACCTGTTTCCTCACTTGTCTTTGTTGAATGAAATCCTCCCTCCAACCCTTCAACCCTTCTCGGTGCACATCCACGAGGCGCCCCCTTTGCTGCGGCGTTCGCCGCTCCCCGCCGTCCCCGTTCGAGCGCTGCAACTGCGGCATTCCGGGGATGTGCCAAGCTTTGATATCTTCCAGAAGATCAAAGACCCTCCGGAGGCCTGGGTTTTCATAGGTTCTCTGCAGCCTTTTCAGGTTTGGGTGGTGGTTAGAGGCCTAGGATGGAGGCTTTCTGCAGATTTCTCGGGTTTGAGTGATGGTTGAAGGAAGAAATCACTAGCTGAGAGGATGTAGAGATGTCCATGCTGCGAACGGGTCAGCATACAGGGAACCATGGAGTATAGCCCCAGTGTCACCAGGGGTGGGTGGAGGAACAAGCGTCCAAGGTACATCCATTCGATTCAATTGGATGTAACATGAGATATTCCGAGACAAACACGACTGCAAACATATGTCATCAAGCGCTGGTTTCTGTTTATTAAGTATGTATATTTAGCAGGGTATGCCGCCATCGAAATCCCTCAAGTCCTTGTGCCACTCCTTGGGGTAGATCTGCACATGCATATTGCCACAGAAGAGCATAGAGCATGAGGATAGCCAATAGGATTTGCTTTGATTCATTCGACGCCTGGAGAGTGCACGTATCATGAGCTCAACGTGGGACACTGTGGGGCACACACCATGGAAGGTGATCAACGTGGGACACTGTGGGGCACACAACATGGAAGCAATTGGTGTTGTGGAAGGACAAGTCAACTTTGTTTTCAATACACACATAATGTTTCTCAAAGGCTCCCTTCTTTCGTTGGTTGTCTGGAAAACCAACGAGCATTACCAACGGCGTTTGCGTTCAGCTCAGCGCCTATCCACTAACGGCTGCGCTAGGAAGGTGACGGTCCCGCCAAAGGGAAGCGACGAAAGCCCTCGGACAAGGCCTGGTCTTCCCCATGCAGGTGTTGGCTGTGAAGTCACTTTTGATGTCACTTTGGAAAGACAAATCTTTGGAAAGACAAATCTGATTCAAACTCTCATTGGTATTCAGCCACTCCCCGCTAATCATCTGCCGGTAGTGTGGGGGTCGTTTTTAATTGAATGTTGAATTCTACTTGTTGCGAATCCCTCAACTCATGTTCGCATCAAATGATTGTTTGGGAGTACTAGATGCTGACAGATCACAGATCGCCAATAGGTTCATATTGAATCATGGCGTGTTCAAGCTGCATTTCTATCTCCCAGAACGTGCACCATACTATGTTAGTCTCTAGCTTAAGGCTCAAGATCAAAGTCTCGACATGTACAAGATAAATTTAGTGCTCTTTAAAGGTGCTTCGCTGATTTCAGCAGCCCTTCCAGATGGCTTTCAGTTCTTTTTGACAAGACTCCGACCCCCTGTCGACCAGATGCTTCATGCTGCAGTACTCTTGGAACATGGCTAGCCAGGACGACAAGACATCGTAGACGAAGCTCTGAGCTTGTGCGCTCGACAAGCTCACCGTCATGGATGCAACAATTCACCGCACCTGTGGTCTCTAAAGCGTCAGAAGGATTGCATCAATACGTTTCAGGTCTAAGTGCACAAGAAAGCAAGGTGACATGAAAACTGCTTCCCAAGGCTGGAAATGCCTTTGAACTCCCAAACCATATATTGAGGTGTTGCAAATTAACAAGAAATCCATTCACATCGGCGATCCGGACCATGTTTTCATGAGCCAAAAGGGATCTCGTTCGCTTCGCATCCAACCTCACCCCCTACCTCGATCACCGTCCTTCTCTCCATGGCCGTGTCCGACGCGGGCACGCCGTGCCCAGCGCCGACACCCGATGCGGCCGCGATGGCGGTCGCGCGGCCGCGGATCAGCTGTTCCAGTTGCCTCTGCGGAGGTGGCGGAACGGTGGCTTCTTCCGTGGCGGAAGGGGGGCGGTCCGTGCGGAACGGCCAGTTCGGAGCACGGACTCAGGTGGAAGAACCAAGACGGGGACACGGATGAAGCTGAGATGAAGGGTGAAGTGACTGGGTGAAGTGATTGGAAGTGCCACTGAGCCTGTTGAATCCCAGATTTCTTGGGTCTATTGTGGTTTCAGAGGTTCGATGGCACAAGTTACCCGAAGCGCTTGGTGCATTGTATGAACCCCCATCCAAAAGACATCTTGGGGTGCCGATGCCATCTACTCTGAAACCTGTATCATTGTTGGAACGGGTTAGCGGAGTGCTTTTACTTACTTTAACAACACCTCCGCGTTTTTACACGAGAGATAATCGTATTTTTTTAATAAATAATATAAAAAATGATAATTATTGTATAAAATCAGCATTTAATGTAGTTGATGAATGAACCTATGATGAATTTCCAGAATGAATTTCTTTCTTTTTTAAGATATGCTGCATTGAAGAGCTTCGACCGCTCCAAAGGAACCTGGCTGGGAGACAGGGTATATATGGCTTATATATATATATGTCTGGAAGAAAGAAACTGGCGACCCCATAGGTGACGGAAGAAGACTTCAACAGAACAGGATGCCTTGTCTTCTCCCTTGCACCCTTTCGTGGCCAACGGTCGACACGAATTCGTGCGGACCTTTTCCGGGGACGACCGAGAGCTGCTGTGACAGGTCAGGTCCTTCATTTCCATGTCATGCAGCTGGAAGGCCTCCGAAGGGACGAAGAAGGGAGAAGGCGAAGGGACCAAACGACATGCTTTTGGCTGACTCAGTGTCAATGAGTCGAGGCTAACAGGCTAACAGTCCCCTCAGTATCAATGAGTCCCTTCTAGAAGCCTCTAACAGTGTCAATGAGTCGAGGCTTGTATGAATTCGAGATATCCAAAGTGGAACTGTGACAGTTCTGTGATGGCTTCACATGTGCGACATGTGTGTGTGACTTACGTAGATGTGCCGAGCTGTCAAGTTCGATGTTCGTACGCCATCAGCCAAGGTTGATTTTCCATTTTCCCGGGGGCGCTCCTGGAGGGTGTTCCTGGTGGGAACACACTCATGCCCAGTGCAGAACGTGGTCAAAGCCAGCTTGGGCATGTTCTACTTTTAATGATTATTCCATTCTGGTTTTGTGACGAGTAGTCTGAGGGTTTCAGGAAGATGCTTTACCGAGCAAGGCATTTGAAAAGCAACTGCTAAGATCACCACTGCAGCAGTTGATATGTTGACTTACAAAGAATGACATCCTTTGTTTTCGCTTTGACATCACATAGGTGTCCGCTTTCAGAAGCGTACGGCAGAAAATACTTACACAAGCGACTTGCCACAAGCGACTGCCCCAGCAACAAGCACTAATTGGGTTCCACGCGGCTGGACTGTATCATGGTTTGAATGACCTCCCCCAACTCGCAGCACGTTCAAACCACAACCAGTGTATCTATAGCACATTATAGCACCAATTACAGTAGTCTGAGTCTATAGCTCTTTGGAAAACCACTCCACCTTCAGAAGATCTTCTGCTTTTCCTCCGTTTTTGAGGCCAGATCTTCCTGTGGATCGGCGGTGAACGCTTGGGCTTGGACGATCTCCATGTGGCCACGCCCACCCGCTTCGACGCATTGCCCAGCGTGGCCTCGCTCCGGGGTGCCGCGGCGGTGTTCCAAACGACGCGCGTCCCCGGTGGAGCCGGTGGTTTTAGCGCAACTGTTGCAGGTGATGGTTTGGGGGTTTGGGGAAGGGACAACCCGAGCAAGAAGGACCAGACGGACGAGTCGGTGTGACTGAGGTTGTTATTTGGTCCAGTTGGACACAGACTCTATAGCTAACCAAGGTGAAGAAATCCAACACCCTCACCTGAAGAGGTGACAAAAGTGGAGTAGGGCGCATGAAACGTAGGCGTGTCCATATAGCAATCAGTAGTGTGATGCATGATCAAATGGCGAAGGTGCCAATGATGGTTAAGTTCTCAATGTTAAACATTCCGATGGAGTCTGTGCAATTCCTTAGAGTGCTCCTGTGGGTCATGCAACCGGGTAAGTTTTGGCTTTACCGATGGGCGTGTGGTGTCGGTGTGGTTTTCGGTGATGCAAAGCTGGATGTTCACGCAGAAGAGCTGTTTTTTTCTCAGAACCTCCTGTGGTTGTGATTCCGTCACTGTGAGGGGCAGCGAAACATCGTGGGTTGTGACTTCCTTGAGAGAACTGGAAAGAAGTCCTTTGCGAACCTCGGGTCGTCTGCACATGCAGCCTGGGCCGCTGAAGAACAGCTGAATGAACATGTCAATGATCCTTTTGGAGAGTTGTTCAACAGTTGAACCATGTTGAACCCATGTCCAAACATGTCCAAGAACAGATGAAACATGCCCTACATACAGGTAAGTGAATTTAACCTCATTTTACTGCTTGGAGTTGATCTTACCAAAGGCACTCCTCAACGAGGCATTCGTTCTGATTCGACCAGGTCTTGGTTGGGATTCGACCAGGGTCTTACCTATATAGAGACCGTACAGATGGTCTTCTGGGACAGGTGGTCAGGATCCTGAAGGATTCTCAGGGGGCAATCCCCCCCAGATCGTCCAATTCGCTTCACGGAGAGAGGAGAAGTGGATGGCCATGCGAGCGGTTTGGCACAGAAGCTGTCCAGGCACGGAAGACATGGACGACGTCCGCATCCGGGACCGGATGCGGAGGTGGCGGTGAGGTGAAAAAAGGGGCGGTTTCCATCCTTTCCAATCGATGGATCCTGAATAGGAATTGATGTCCTGCGTGTGTTTGGAACAGGTCTAGTACTCCTGCGAAGTCAACAGAGCTTCTCGGTTTCGATGTGAATGAAGCCTTCAGCGGTGTTTCGCTTCTGGAGTTGCCAGGAAACCAACTGCTTCCTAAGGGATCCAGAGAAGGGGAGGGGATCATGTCTGCAGTAGAGGAAGGGAGCCTAGGACTGCCCCACCATTTCCATGACCTCGTGAGCCCCCCCCTTGACCTGTTTTATGGATTCAGACATGTGCAATGTTTGACTTCATGTCGTTCCTCAGACCTCTTAATTTTTCACGGCCTTGTCAATGAATCAGGTTTGTTCCTTCGGCACCTCCGCAGAAAGAGCACAAACACGGCCGCAGCGGTGCGTTCAGCCGTCGTTCTGCGCACCGTTCTGCGCCCGCGGGGAGGCGCTTTGGACGGATGATCTTCTTCAGCCTCAACCTGCCGGAGGAAGTTCAGGCAGAGACGATGCTCGCCCTTCAGCTGCTTGGAGTGAAGAACACGAGCGAAAGCGAGGTAGCGAGGCAGCGAAGCGGTTTGGAAGCTGCCACATGGGTAGCCAGCGGGTTTGGAAGCCTATGAGGCTTCCATCGGTGTACTTTGTCTTAATCAGCTGTCACCAGGGAGAGATAGTGTAGGTCAGAACCTGGAACACGGCTCCAGTTGCAGGAAGCATGCAGCAATATTTGTAACATTTCATCCCAACAGCAACCAAGCCAAGGATATCACATGTAAGGCCCTATTCAGGGAGCTCCCACACCTGTTGTAATTCATGACAGGCTGTGTGCAGTCTACACATTGCATTGATACAACAGGTGTGCAGGCAGAGGCCTCTGGTTGTCCCAATGGGCCACTTTGCAAGACTTGGCTCGGTTTGTATTGAATCATCAATCCAAGTGGGCCTAGTAGTTGTATTGTTACAGCCTCAATTAGTCAATGCATTTTCGGGAAACAGCGTGCTTTCAACAATGGGAACTCCGGCGCTTTGAAGTCGCCGCATGGCAATGGTGATTCGACTTTCGACCTGCCAGAGAGCATGGCCACACTTGTTTGGCATCGGTTCTTCCATGTTTTCAGGTGCAAGTCCAGTGGGCGACGCCAAGCCTGTGGAGTAAGCAAGTGTTGGCAAGTTAGTTCCCACGGCCGCGTGTGCACGACAAATGGTCGGATATCACACGGGTCTTTGCAATCAAGTGGCTACTGCAGGGTTAAGATTTTGGGCCACGACTTTTATGTCCATCGTGTGGTGGCCTCAGCTTTCCTCGGTCCTCCACCAGATGGGTCAAGATGGCAGGTGCATCATCGAGATGGCAATCCTTCCAATAATCGTTTGGACAATCTGGAATATGTGACTCAGAGCCAGAACATTCTTGCCTCCTACGCGAGCTTATCTAGACGGTGCGGTGCTGCAAAGCGGGCCGTGTCTGTAATGTGGAGAGCTGTGGGGTCCCAAAGCTGGACCACTTCCCTTTCAATGACGCAAGCAGCAGCGGAGCTTGGCATAAGCCAGTGGTCAATCTCCCACGCCTGCCGCAAAAGCAAAGTAGTCAAAGGCTATGAGTTTGAAGTTGCACATTGTGGTGAGATGAGAGTCCAAGAGGGAGAGGAGTGGCGGCAAATGTATGATCCTGTTTCAGGCCTGGAGGTGCCCGGACGGATGGTGAGCTCTCTGGGAAGGCTCAAGTTTCGAAACGGGCGAATATCATTGGGATCTTTGCGCAAAGTGGGGTACTACACAACAGGTATCAGCTTGACCTCACACAGACGTAGTGAATTGGTCCATCGCATCGTGGCATATGCATTTCTAGGGCCACCTGCTTCTTGGCATAGGGGCTATGTTAACCACAAAGACCTGGACAAGGGAAATAACGCAGTTGAAAACTTGGAGTATGTATCACAGTCTGAGAACACATTTCACTGTTTTGCCACTACAGTCAGTACAGGCTCTCCTAGGCATAATGGTATACAAGTGGAAAGCAGACCTTTGGACTGCAACTACTCTTGGACAAGACATCCTTCTATCAAGAGTGCTGGCCGTGCTCTCGGTATAAGCCCAAGGAGCATTTTTGCTTGCCTCAGGGAGCAGCGTGCAAACACTTGTGGCTACCAGTTCAGATTGGCAGATGCTCCACCCACGAGGTTCCTTCCAGGTGAAGTGTGGCGTTTGGTTGATGTTGCAGCCCTTCTTCGAGAGAGGGCCATGCGAACAGGCAGATGATCATTTTGCAGTCACACCCGCTTTTTACACCTTGAGCCCGTAATGGTCGAACAGTAAATAGTAGGCGGAGAAATGTGCCAAGTGTCATTTTCATAGCATGCGGACAGCTTGTGATGATCAAGCTTTGAGTTCCACCCTTGATCATCCGAGTTCCACCCTTTATCGAGCCATTGAAGACACAGCAACGGCATATTTATGTTGGCAGCACCAAAAATGACCGTGACCAATGGATTTGATTTTCATTTGCGAAACCCCGGCATCTCATCATCCCATCCATTTGGGACTTCAGCTTGTAGACCTTCAACTTTCTGCGGCCCGTTGCTTCCATGGAACTTTTGGGGATGTAGATTTACTGCTTTGATCAATTTGGATAGCTACTGCATCACATGTGATAGAACTTGGCAGTAGGATATAATGATGGGGCTGGACGACTCTGCAAGACTTGGCTCATGTCTGTTGGATCATGTCTCGTGTTTCCAAATCCAAAACAAGTTCTGAGTGATCGTACAGCTATGATTTGAGACAGCATTTGTGCAACAAGTTGAGACAGTTAAAGTCTACAGATCATTCCGGTCTTTCTGAAAGGAGGGATGATGCATGACACATGAGCCTTGTGCTGTTCTCCTTTTGAGCGTAAGCAACAGAAGAGTGCGTCCACCGGCATGTGTAGGTTGGAAACGAATGAAGTCGTGCAATCCATCGAAGTGTAGAATCTTTGTGGACACAAGTATGTAGGGGCGATCCCTTCCACTGAGCAAGTTGGTGTATAGGCTATAGGATTATACCATATATTTAATCCATATTCCCTAGGGATCCAAGTACCTTCTCAGCAGGTACTTGGACCCTCCAAACCTACAGTGACTCCAATCACCGTACCTGAGAAGGTACGACTGGATGCCTAGGGATTACCTCTATTTCATGCTTCGTTCGCCCACCGCGCAATTGCCGGAGGAACGCCCACCACCATTCAGATTCCTAACTTCTCCTACCACCCCCACCTCCGGATCTCCGGGCGTCGCGTGCCGAACGCGAATGCCGCTCCGCGGCGCGGCTTCAGGAAGGAAAGCACACGGATTTTGACCGACCTCTTGGATTCACCTGCCGAAGCTGCCGAGTGACGCTGCGGAAGAAAGGACCGAAAATGGCCGCCGGAAGGGTTGGTGCGTGTGCCTGTGCACGTGCGAGTCTGCGAGCTGGTGCGATCCAAAGGGCGCGCGGAGGGCACGGAGGGTGAACAGTTGTGGGGTATATAGTTGGTGGTGGCGTGGAAGAAGAGACGACTGAAACTGTCAGTCAGAGCGTCTCAAATCAACACTAAGTGGTGCAGAACATATTTCTTGTCGTCTTTTTTTTGGTGCAAGACAAAGCAAAGCTCTCGGAGGTCTTGCGCATCGTGGATGAGATCATGTCCTTGACCCTCATCGAGGCCTCACCCTCATCCCGCGGGGATGTCGGGGGAGGTCGGGGGGAGAACGAAGCACCAGGGACCCAATCCAAGAGAGGTTTCTCAGTGACCTGATATCTAGTCCAACTGGCCATAGTCGAAGGACTCGGGTCCTGCAAAATCTCTAGATGACCGAACCAACTGCCAGACATGTTGGTTCAGCCCAAACCCAGTTGCGAGGGTCAAAATTCTATAGCGAACGGGTTGGGTCCTTCAACCTTTGCGTGCTTTGATCGGCCTTTTGCAAGATGGGCCGCATCAAGTGAGACACAGAGACACATTGATGGCACATGCGACATCCTGCACATGGTGCAGCTTGCCCCAAGCGAAATGGTGAGACTTCGATCACTTTCATCATCTTCGGACCGCAGATTCATAGAACCCACATGTCCCTTAAGGACCATATGAAGCCATAGAACCCCAGCGCAGAACCCAACCTACACCCACACAGAACCGTTCACCTCTCCGCCCACCCCCCCGGCCGCCAACCACGCGTGGACCGACTCGAGGCCGCGGACCTGTGCGATCTGTGCCAGGACGGAAGCGCGAGCGCGTGAACCGTGGGCGAAAGCCCGGTGACGAACAGCGAAAGCCCAACGAATCTTCCAATCCACTTGGAATCATATACCAAGACCCCCCAGGAGTTGGGTGATCCATGCACACCCCGAATCACCGAACAGCTATAGCGGGGCATAGCGGGGCTATTTACAGCTGACACCCCGACAGGAGGGTCCTGGTAGAATGTCGGTATTTCATCGACAATGATGGAATGTGCAATCATGTGCAACCCCTTCATTGTTTGGACCACCACTTCAAAGTTTTGACCACTCCTTCTAAGTTTCGTAAGTGTTGTTGGAAGTTCTTGGATCTTGTTTGTTCTTAGTCCAACTAGACCTTGATGCTGGTCTACTTTTGCTGGTCGGGTTGCTGGTCTAGTTGAATCAGCAAGAGTGGGGAATCAACCCTGAATGCCCGACTGATCTTAGAGTCGAAGAGTTCGGCTTCTCAAGAAGATTGGTTTCTCAGTCAGGAACCCTTTATGCAAAAATTGATAGGAATCCAGTTACACCATGTTGCACACTGCACCAGGTTTGTAGACTTCAGTATTTACGTTCCAAGCATTCCAAGGTGTACTGTCTACCCATCTACCCTTTCAAACCAACTGACCCAACCCTCCCTCAACTGATCCACTTGACAGGAGCAGTTGGAGACATTCACTCCAAACAGATCACATGTGGATGCTTTCCCCAGAGAAATAGACATGGAAACCTCTCAGGAACTACAGAGAAATAGACCACACAGCCACAGCTTCCATGTCAATGGTTCAAGTTCACTCTCTTCATGGCACTGGGTCTTTCTGGACCGCCCCAGAAAGACTCCTTCATTTTTACACCATCCCTTCATTTCGAGCGGTCACTCTTACTTTGACCTTCTAGTCAAGGTGTCCTTGCTGGAGAATCCCATCCCATAGTCAAGTGGTGTGGCCTCTTTTGGGGGTTGGGAAGCTAAGTGACCCCGGGCTGGAGGCCACTCCAATTGGAGAATCCCTAAGTGGTGTATAGGGGCTTCCAGCCAAGTGACCCCTGCCTGGAGGCCACTCCTATTGGAGGCATCCTTCCCCTGCCTGGACTCCTATTGGAGTGCTTGGCATCCCCTTCCCCATGACTCCAGGAGAAGCTCTCGGATGGAGCGCTGCGCGGTCGGATGCCGTCCCTTGGAACCGGACACCGGTCGGATGCCGGGGAGGATGGGCGGATGGTGGAGCATCGGAGTTTGGAGGATGGGAGGATGGAGGATGACACCTCTTTCTTCGAAAGAAGTATCAATTCTATCGAACACAATCATCTCCAGCAGCTTTGATGGCGCTTCAGATCCTTGCATATCGACCCCAGTCGCGTCGACCCGTCTTCCTTCGGAACGCCGAGGTTCCCGCATCCGGCGGGCATGTTCTCGGGCATGCCCATGCCCATGCCCATGGCCGGCGTCGCTCGCTTGGAGGAACCTTCTTTTTCAAAGAAAGATGGACCTGCAGGCGGTTGCTTCTGTTGCTCCTTCTGTTGGGTCTGTTGAAAGTGACCGACTTGTTCATTTTTCGACAAAGTCACTTGCAGACTGTGAGGTCATCATTTCAATAAGACACACATTCCAGAGCCGATTTGTTTTTCTCACTCATCATAAGGCGATGCCAGCGATGCCCATGCCACAGGCGGATGGTGTTAAGACCGGGTTCCTCTCAGAGGTGTTTCAGTGACTTTGGACAGCCAGGAACTTGCCAGCGGCCCTCAAACTCATGAAGAAACCCCAACGTTTTTAACTTTTCACATACAAAGAACATGTTTTTTTCTAGGGAAAACCAGGTTCTTGATGGTTTGTGGGGCCCCTGGTGGGGGGTGAATTGGCAACTCTGAATGACTTGATGGTCTACGTCTATGCCAGGGCCCCCGGGCCCCTGGGGTATCTAATGATAGCCCCTTAGAGGTTAGGGGATGTCCATTGACTACTCAAGGGGCCCTGCTGTATAGACGACTATAATATGTTGAAAAGCTTCGCTTCGGATGTTTTATTCAGAAGTAACAACCTTCCAACACAATCCCTGGGGTCCTGTGCTTCTGTCTTCATCGACAGATCGCTTGGCAACCCTAATAACCGGCTACAAGTCGTTCTGGAACCAGGTGTTGACTTTGCCTACCTTGGCCTACCTCAACATGGGATTATCTTATGCTGAACATAAACCCCAAGTGTCGTTTCTTCCCATGCTCTGCAGACCGCTCCCAGCGTCGTAGGCCGCGCCGGCCGCCGCGGCCGCGCCAGCGGCCGCGCCGGCGGCTGCGCCAGTGGAGGAGGCGAGAAAGGGACAACGGCGATGGTTGGGGTGGTCTAGCCGATGTTTGAGCCAAAGAAGACGATCCCAGTATATCCACGTAAAAGGGAAGTCGTAGGGCAGGTAGGGATCCACGGCTCAAGAAAGATGGCCTGCAGGTTGTGATGATGTTGGTTAGCCACTTGGAGGCACCCCCAAATGGGGCGAGCGTTTATGGTATTCGTGTGGTTTGGGGTAAACAGAACAAACCATGTAATTACAGTAGCAAGGGAAGTAATTACACTTTTTTGGTGTCAGGAAATCCTTCCAAGTAGCTGTATAGCTGGCTTTTGGCCAGTCCAAACCTAGTCAGGGAGGGACTCATTCACTCATGCGGCTCGCAGGCGGCTGCTGCGGAAGCGCCAAAGGAGGTGCCAATGTTTGATCGTCTCCAAGAGTCCCTCCAAGAGCGCCAAACGAATGTCTTGGAACCCAACTCCCATAGAATGGTCGCGCAGGGTAGAGGTTTCTGTTCAAGCCTAGCCGAGGTTCATCTAGACCTTCTTAGTTATTTATAGGAAGCCCGTTTCGGCCGACACGCATTCCTCCTTTCAGCACTGGAGAAGTCTTCTTGGATCGAGAAATAAAGTAGCCATCGGAACCATTGAAGGGCAGTTTCTAGGTAACTTGTTGCGAATGGTGAACTCCATCTCCATCGGGTTGGGAGATTCATGTTGTACATACACCTGCAGAGACAAATTAGATGTTTTCCTAGTCCCAGTTCACTTCTGGTGTGAAGGATCTCATTTGCCATTTGGCGTTTCAACCAACATATATATACCGGTTGGATGCAGGGTTTCCAGGATGTGTACCCCAGACACTCCATGGGACTAGGTATATTTACATACCCATGAAAGGAGTGGTTGATTTCAGGGTCAACTGATCGGCATATATGACAGACATGGCATGTTTGGGTACGAAAAAAAAACAAAAACAAAAACACACCTCTCAACTCCTGAACATTCAGACTCCTGGCCGACCGGGTCGACCTGGTTTCAGAACCATCAGAACTGTGGCTCCATCATGCTCGGGCCTCACGGGGGGGGTGTGGAGCAGATCGATCATGATGAGAAAGCAGTCCCGCAGGTGGATGGGTCGTGTGGCTTCATTCGGGGTTAGGCGAAGAAAGAGGAGAAGAAGAAGGAGGTCTACACCATCAAGTTGGCAGGGACTCTCAAGTAGCATGACCGGCTCAGTTTCCTCAGTTTCAGAGCTCAGAAATCCAAGAGATCGGCCGACCGGAACCGGCCAGCGGACGGTCGAATGACGAGAAGTACCATGGGACATGGATCTCCATGGCTTTATGTATGCCTTAAATAGTTATTCTGAAGGGGTATGCCTTATGTATGCCTTATGCCTTATGTATGCTTTGTGGGGTCCTGGAATAATTAACTGGAATAAACCCAGGGGGGTCTGGACCGTTGACCAAGAAGTGGGGGTCCCTTTAAGGCACCAGCCGGCTTAGAAGACACCGGAAGATCCATCCCCGAACAGGTGTGTCTTGGAGTGGGTGATTTCGAGGTGATGCAAAAGACAAGTTTTGGTTCTTAAACCTGCATTTGTGTTTGTGTGTGTGTGTTTGTTTGTCTCTGTTTGTCTCTCTGCTTGTTTTGGTTTGTCTGTTTGCCTGTCTCTCTGTTTGTGTCTATCTGTGTCTATCTGTGTGTCTGTCTGTGTGTCTGTCTGTGTGTCTGTCTGTGTGTCTGTCTGTCTATCCATCTATCTAACAAGCTAAGCTAAGCTAAGCTAGGCTGAGCTAATTAATCTAATCTATATAATCTAATCTAATCTAATCTTTAATCAATTCTAATTCTAATCCTAATGCCCTTCCCGTCCCTTCTCTTCCCTTCTCCGCCCTTCCCTTCTCTTCCCTTTTCTTCTCTATCGATCTATCGCTCTATGGCTCTATGGCTCTATCGATTGATCTCTCTCTCTGTCTCTGAATCAGTCTGTCTCTCTATCGGTCCATCCATCCATCCATCCATCCATCCATCCATCCATCCATCCGTTTCTATCTCTCTCTCTCTCTCTCTCTCTCTCTGTGCTCATTTTGAGACACAGCCCCATTATTTTTCTCACTCACCACGAGCTTTTCGATTCTGCAGGCGTAAAGGTGTCTTTGTTTTTGGCGTTTGTTTTCGACTGTGTACTGAACTGTGCCTCCAACTTGCTCAGCTTCTTCAAGTCCTGCAACGAAGGATATCCTTCCTATAGGGTTGAATGTTCGATCCTTTAGCAGAATGCACTCTCAGACAAAAAGCAGACTGCATCCTGTGCAGACTTGACAGGTAATCGACTCATCGACTAGACTTCCGATGTCATGTATGACTACGAACTCGAGGATCAACGACTCATGAGCAACTCATGACCAACGTTCCGTGTTCAGTGGTGAGCTTGTCTCATTCTGTCTAGACTTGCACAGGGAGATGCCAGTTGCTCTCAAGCCGCTCCGACCTGGCGTTTGCGCCCCAGGTCGGCTTTGAATCCTCTAAGAAGATCAACGTCGTCAAGGAGGCCTTTCCCCTCCCCTCACGAACCTCCGCGCGGGTCGACCGGGTTCCCTCCGGGTCGTACGTTCGGTTGGGGGTTGATGAAAGACCCGTCTCCGACCGAAACGGGGCCATTTCGGTGGGCGCCCCGTGGGTGAACAGACGAAGGGAGCCAGATGGTGACCTGTTTGGGAAGGCCATAGGACTGCCGATCAAGCCAGACCCCGAAATCAACCACCCCTGGCCGTTTCTCGGCAGTCCGTCCTGGCAGTCCCATGTGTCGTGTCTCGGGGGGCTGAGACAAGAACATCACAATGAAATCTGGGCGATAGGTCTTTGGTACCTAAGTTCTTTGGCCCCGCTTCGCAAGAGAGCAGCTAGGTGCGCGCGATCACTGCGATTGGCCTGAAGGAGGCGAAGGTGGCAAGGGGGGGATTGGCTCCCGGGAACGGGGGATTTGTTCCGATTTTTTGCAAAACACTAGTTTGTCTTGGTTTGTGTTGCTGCATTATTGTCTATGTGTTTTGTTTTGTGTGTGTTTTTAGTTTATTCTTTGCTGCATGTACTCAGCTATTGCTGAATCTTCCTGGGATTGGAGGTTTCGCCCATGCCTGAGACAGATATATCTTCGATGACCTATCACCAACGGCAAACTGAATGTTTGAGAACATGGGCGAGTTCTTATGAGTTTTCCAACACATGTGTCTTCGAACATGAGCACTCATGCAAGCTGGATGTTCTCATGAGTTCTCCTGTCAGCAAGACCTTGGAGACCTGTTGTTGTTGTTGTTGTTGTTGTTGTTGTTGTTGTTGTTGTTTATTCAGTATATGACATTTCAATGGCCAAGGAGCGAAGTTCATCCTGAAAAGACGTTGGTCATTGAAGACCAATCAATGGTCTTCAGTCTTCATCTATCAGTTTCAACTCTCCCATGACAGTCCCCAGGTCTTCAGGCGGAGCTGCGCAGTCTGTAGTCTGTCCAGCGTTGTTAGCGCACATGAGTTGCATGATGATCAGGTGGCAGATCTTCACACCTGGACCTTCTTTCGGGGTGTCCTGTCTGGAGGTCCCTATAGGTAGTGGGCTGGGGCTTCCAGCCAGGTGACCCCGAACTGAAGGTGCTGGTATATATTCATCTTAACTCCCCGGAAGGATCGTCGTCAAGCTTCAACCTCCTGTGTCATGTGGAACAAAGAAAACGTGTGCCACAAATGGCCGCAACTTCCGTGCGTCTTCCGTCGGCGCGAACCAAAACGTAGCAACCAGAGGACGCCTAGAATATTCCTGGAATGGTCAACACGCAGCGGAACACCTGTCTCGTGTGACTGGTCAGCAAAACACGACCTTTAGGATCCTTGATACAGTGTCCCATGTCACGTGGTCCCAAAAAACATCAATTTCTGCTGAGTTGGCTCTGTTTGCTCTACCATGTTTGACTCGAAGACCTCACGTAGCTTGAATACATTTGCACGTGGGCTGTGAAGACTTTTGGTCCGTGTCATAGGCGTGCGGGGAGCATTGTATATCCAGCGCATTCGGTACACCATGAACAGAGGCATCATCACATCGGAGCGAGGTGTTCTGGCTCAAGGCTGCTGGTGCGAGTGCTGCTGGCTCATGTCCGAGGCTCCCACGGCACGGCGCCGCATTGGCGGCACATGTCACTCTCTCTCAGAGGTGAAGCCCAGCCTGAAGCCGGAGGAGCTTCTGGATGATGGGATTCCCGAAGAAATGGTCTTCATCTCCTTTCACATCGAAGAGAAGCATTTGAACAGTTGGCGCACGGAGTGCTTTGACCGACTTCCGAACCGAGACTCCTTCAGCTCTTGCACGGAGTACGACCGAGCGGATCCAAAGGGGCGTCCCAATGGGCTCACACACGAGACCTACATGGAGCTCTTACAGGAGATGGTGCAAGTGCTGGAGAAGCGACCGTGGATCCTCAAGAGGAGCGTCCGGCAACATCGTGGGGAATGGGCAATCATTCCTCAGCCGGTGTGCGAGAGGCTGAAGAGATGTAGACTCTGGAGACGGTGGAAGATCGCGAGCTGAGATCGCGGCCGCGACATGGCGGCGGTGCGGGGCTGGCTTTCGGTCTGGTGAAAGAGAAGCCTGTGGGTTGGATCCTAAGGCTCCTGAGTGTATCAAAAAGTGTAGAATTTCTGACTCTGACACTGGCTGATAGGCCAGTTGTAGGGGTTCGGGTTCGCCTGATCTTGCAGCGCTTCTTCACAGCACAATGAGCGTATGAAGTGGCGACTTGGATTCTGTATAGTTTTTGCAAAAGAGTCCAACCAAGTCTTTTTGCTCGAAGCCCGGTTTTGCAGCGAAGTATCATCATCGCCCCAAGCGCTTCCGAGCAGTCCAGTCCATTTGACCAAATTGACTGTTGCCAGATTGAACCGAGGGACGGATGAAAAAGGTGAGGACCGCCGCTACTAGATGCGTCTGTTGCGTGACGCCGCTTAGTAGCACCAAACTCCATCCAGAGATCGATGTTGAGATCCTGAAGTCGACCCGGAACTCGTACTTCAGAACATGGGTACAGTCGTACCATGTCGTAGACAGGTGTTTTAGGGTCATGTTACATGTTTCTATGTTCTAAGGAAGTCCGGTCCAGTTAGGTATGGTCTTCCACTCCGGTCTGGCGCTCTGCCTGTGGAGTAGCACATGAATCATGCCCTTCGCGTGACGTGCCGATCGGACCCCGGAATCCGTGTTCGACGGCCCCAATCCCTTCGTTGACCGATGGGATCGACGTCCAGGAGCTGGTTGAAAGCGCTCCGAAAGTGGTGCGGGGACCGGTTTGCGCGCGACCGCGGGACCGGTTGGACCATGGGGAGAGTGGTGGGGCCACGGTCGGTGTTTTGTGGGTGGCACCTGGTGTTGTGGGCGATCCTAGCTGAGACCGTTCGATCTTCGAACTGTGGCCTCACTGGGCTGGTTTGATGGATGAATTTTGGCACACATGTGGCACAGTTGGAAGATGGTATAAGGGAGTGGGGTCCGGAAAAATAAAGAAACAACAACACACGCACAGAACTCCTCAGCTAACTATATATAGGCAGAGGCAGGCAAAAAAACGATTCGTGGCATTTGGGGTGAAGGTTTCTGATTTGGAGTCACTTGGAAATCAAAGTACTAAGGCATACTAAGGCCATATACAGCCCTAGGGATCCAAGTACCTTCTCAGAAGGTACTTGGACCCTCCAAACCTACACCTCCAATCACCTTCTGAGTACCTTGGGCAGTGTACTTGGGCGATTTTACAGAAACCATCTTAGATCCAAACGCGCCTGTCAGCAAGAGCTTTGTTCTTCTTCCTCTTCTCTCTAGCACTCCCTGGACGGACCTGGACCGTCCGAAGTACCTGACCGCAAAATGGGACATGACTCGACCGCAAAGAAAAGGATGGTAGAACGTATAAATATTGTAGACTCTTGATTAATAAACGGGCCCCCCATATGAAGAGGACTTCCAATTCAATAGGAAGGGTCTATCACGAAAGCGATCTCCGAAGGAGGTCAGCTGAAGTTCAAGTTTACGATTAATAGATGTGTCAAAATCGAAGGGATCAATTGAAAAATCACTACAAACAACCGCCCCCCCCCCCCCCCCCCCACCCCCTCCACTTCGTGTGAAGTGAATCAATAGATACCCTCCCTCCCTCCCCCTTAACGAATTGAAGCGGTATTGATTAGGGCCCCCCCCCCACCCCCCCAAGGGACACGACATCACAAACATCATCTCAGGGGATTATTTTTAAGGTGTTTTCACGATCGTCGTGTCGTCGTCATCGCTTTCGTTCCCCGCCTCTCAAGTCATCGTCATGGTTTTGATGGCTCAACTAGCTGTCAGACTTGGAGAGAGTTGGACGTTGTTTTCCTTGGCGCAAAGGGAGCAGCGGAAAGATGGACTCTGGAGTGCTACATTGTGAAATATATGTTGCTGCTGCTGTCTTTCCAAGCAAAAAAAGTTGCGACAAAATGAGAGTCAGCGTCTTCTATCATCGCCACGAGGGCACGAATCGCTGGGCGTGGTGCGCGCTTGTTCATGATCAATCATACAGAAACTTGGCCATATGAGAATTATGATTTTAACCATTTTAAACATCTATCATTTATGACAACAAAGCTATCAGCCATCATCAACTTTTAAATAACTATCAGTCATCTATCAGTATTATCAGTCCTTTTGATGATTTCCCCTGATCAGGAAGTGATGGCGTCAATTTCACTGGGTGTATTTGGTTATACAGCCCCGCACTTGGTTGGATAAACCAGGGGCGCTGGACTTGGTGCAACCAGAACCGGCGGTGCCTGACATTCAGCGACTATGACTTTGCTTTCCCACAGAAAGAGTGTTTGTAGTGGTTGCCGAAGCGGCCTCAGAGAGGCAAAGATGCCTTTTTTTTGCGTCCCAGTCCATGTTGAGGTATTTGTTTTGTGCCCCAAACAGTGTGGGCACACTGAGGTGTTCTTACGGTAGGTGAAAGGAAGGTGTGCTTAGATCGCTGTTCCGCGCGGGCGTGTGCGGCTGATTCGCTGCTATTTACAGTACATTAACATCGTCCATGTGCACTTCGACTGCGCAGGCTCGCTGAATCTGGGTGTCTGCGGCGGGTGCTTCTAGCGACTGCGCTCTCGTTGTGGTGCCGTGCACATTTTCGTACATGGTGGTGACTTTTCGTGGCAGGCGCAAGGGAAACCTCGTGTGTTTTGGTGCTCAAAAGTCAACTTTTCGTGACAGGTGCAAGGGATCGGAGCTGTTTTACTTCGACATGCAGTTTTCGTGGCAGGTGTTTCGTGACAGGTGCAGTGAATCGTGACTTTTGGACATGTGGCTCGTTTGCAGATTTCGTGGCAGGCGCAGCACTTGGTGAACCTCGAAGTACAGGCACAGCACTATGAACCTCGAAGTACGATTTCGTGGCAGGCACAGCGCGTGGTGAACCTCGAAGTGCAGAGTTCGTGGCAGGTGCGGCACTTGGTGAACCTCGGGGTAGTTTGGCAAGGATTTTCTAGATGCGTTGGCCCGTTTTTAGTCATTGTCCTATATTGATCCCACCGGCACTCTGCTAGGATGCCGGTGGTCAACAAGCAGCCGGAATGGCCGGCTACCAGCGAAACTTGGCCTGGCGCAGTGCGCATGTAGCGGGTGGTGGAATCTCTACCCTGGGGTTGCAATTCTCCATTGCCATTCACAGGAAAACTAAAGCCCAAGTTCACACTCACGTGGCCATTGTGAGACCCGAGAATAGAGTGGTCAACCTTTGTCAGGCCAAGACGTGCCAGAATGGTGTACCTTGGCACAGTCGTGCGGGTCCTGGAGACCCGCACACTAGGCCTCCCACGGCGCCAGCAGGAGCCCCAGCTCAATGGCTCAGAAACACAGAGCCTGATTCGTTGATAGATGTTCCTCAGGTTAGATTTTAGAAGAGGATCCCGCCTCCCTGTCCCCAACAGCACTCACGTGCGTGGCCAACGTTGGAAAATTGCGAGCCGAGAGTAGAGGGTAAGTCTGGTCACCTTTGACAGGCCAAGAAATCCTTGTGGATGCATTCAATCCAAATGAACAACCTCGCAGGCCCAATGCAGTTGCCCCCGCGCATACTGCGTGCGCCGATCCCGTTTTGCCGAACGCCAGCCTACAGTGGACACCAGCAGCAGCAGTAGCAGCAGCAGCGGCAGCAGCGACTGCTGCGGCGCCGCCTCCGATGCGGACACACCTTGTCACCCGCAAGCGAGGCGTCGGAGTCCTCAGGCGAACAGGGTGAAAGCTAAAGCGCCAATCACTTGCCAGGCTGGCTACATTGCCAGAGCTGCTGAGAGGGCGGAGGCATACAAGGCCAAAGCAGAGGCGCGGAAAAACTGTATATTCAACAGAATTTCTGCTGACAAAAACAGGCACGCCGGGAGCGTAAGCGACAGTGGCATCACCCAGCGACAACCTCGGCAGCGCTCGAAAGGACGCCGTTCTAGACATCTTGTCTCAGCATGCCAGGGTGGTCTTGACCCCGCTCCGCTGGCACCTCGCGGGCAAGCAAGGCCCAAAAAACCCGTTCGCAATAGTGATCAAGGCTCAGCCGCGGCAACTCGGCGTGTTAGCTGGTAGCGGCTGGCACGTCCACCGTGTGGCTGCTGACGGAGACTGTCAGTTTGCTGCCCTCTACGCGGCCATGCTCGTACAGGACAAGGCACTGACCTGGATCCCATTCGGAGCGCGTGATTGTCACCTTGCACGCCTTCGAGTTTGGCGTCCCGTGCGCGCAAGACGTACGTCGCCTTGCCTGCGAGCAACTGGCTTGGCGGCGCGAGCACTATGAGGCCAGAAGCTCCAAACCTCTACGAGCCCGCCCACGTCGATGGTGTCGACGCCTACCTCGGCGAGATGCGCCGCTCTGCTGCGGGTCCTCACCCTGGTGCCTGGGGAGACCGCACTTTGCAGGCCATGTGGAAAAGCAAATAAAGACGATCAAAAAAGGCAACCGTTTCCTGACAAGCTTTCGTGGATTTCACGGGCCTCATGGTGACGGTCTGGGACCTGGCGCCAGTGGGGGAGCAGTTCCGCACCTCCGACATCCGGCCTTGCCATGAGCAGGTCGGGCGCAAAAGTCGAACGCGAGTGCTCAAGCATAAAATCGATTGCTGCAGGTGTGTGGCTCCTTGCACCTGCTCTAGTCTGGAGCCTGTGTTGCCAACCACACGACGAGAGACGTTCTCCCATTCGCGTTTTCCATGTCGAGGCCAACGTGGGCAAGGCGGAGGCAAGGCGCGAAAAGCGCAACGCATTCTCGCATTGTCTTCCAAAAGCCAGGTAGCACGGCGAGCTCCCAAGCTAGCTTACCTTGGCACAGTTGTGCGGGTCATGGAGACCCGCGCGCTCGGCCTGCCACGGCGCCAGGAGCCCAGCTTAATGGCCCAGAAACACAGAGCTTGCGCTGAGCCACAGCATAAAGGAACTTGCACGCTGCTAGGGCGCAGTCCGGTATCGCAATTAAGTACATGGTAGTTCAAGTGTAAAAGGTGCGCATCTTTGCTCAAATTCTTCCAGGTAGCAAAATACACGATGCTTAACTTATATATATGTTATATGTCCTCCACGTTTGCCCGGAAAACTCTGTACAACAAACACAAAAGCCAACAAAGCAAAATGGAACAATGAAAGAAACATATTCCCTCACCCAAAGCCCGCAAAAAGAACAAAAGCAACACGAGCACTTGTTGACGACCGGAGCAGCGTGTAGCATCAGTCAGCGCCCTGTTGGCCGGTTTGAGCCCGTGTTTTGGGGCGAAGGCATTGTCTAGCGCCTTCTGAGCAGAGCCCTTCCTACTCCCTGACAATGACCGTGGATCTTTTCAAGCTTACTCGTCCAGTGCAGATTTCATGGCAGTGGCAGCATTGTGTGGCCCCAAAGC